GCATGCCAAGCAAGCACTCTACCAACTGAGCCACACCCCTTGCTTTGACATACATTTATTCCTGTGTGTGTGTGTGTGTGCCACAGCACATGTTTTGGCAGAGGAGAAGAATGTGAAGTCAGTTCTCTCCTTCCACCTGTACATGGTATAGAACTCCGACTCCCAAGCTTTGGTTAACACCTTTACCTGCTGAGCTCTTACTGGACCTCTCACTTTCATACTTTTATTTGCTTAGCCATTTACTACTTCTCACTAGATTGGACCCTAAGGATTATTGCCTTTATTTATTTTGTCTTTTTTGAGACAGGGTTTCTCCATGTAGCCCTGGCTGTCCTGGAACTCACTCTGTAGACCAGGCTGGCCTCAAACCCAAGAAATCTTCCTGCCTCTGCCTCCTGAGTGTTGGATTAAAGGCATGAATCACCACTACCCAGCTTATTGCTGTCTTTAACCAGTTATCTTCAGTGCCAAATACTTAGCACTTAACAGGTTTGAGAGAACAAATGAGGTTCCAGTTACAAGACTGACAAGCTTGACCCACTACACCAAGAGGTCAACAAGAGTGCAAAATATGAACTTCCAAAGAGGTCCTCAAGACTCAGGATCAGAGACTTGGCAGCAGAGATCTTGTCCGAAGCCTTCTATGTGGAATAGTGAAATAAGCACTCTAGGATTTTAAGAAAGGATTAAGTCCAAACTCTTCCTGACTTACTTTTACTATAACACCAATTAGCACAGTTCTAATGGTCTTGGGCTTGGAAAGAAAGTGTGCAGAACTACTGGTCTGCTTAAAGATCCTGAGTACTAGTCTATGGAAGGGCTTCTGTTCAAAGGAAAATGAAATTTTCAGTGAATACAAGTTGGTGAATTTTTTGCCTGTATTTTTATTTTCTGATATTTATTTATGAGGTTCATGCATGCATGTAGAACTACTTGCAAGAGTCAGTTATTTTCTTCCATCATGTGGGTACCAAGGATCAAACTTAAATTGTCAGGCTTTAAATTGACAGGAAACACGGGCTCTGAATCATCTTGCCTTTGTCAGCCCCACATTTTTTATTTTTTTAAGATTTTTATTTTTATTTGTAATTGCGTGTATGAGTTTGTGCAAAGGATTGCTCTCCTCTAGAGGCCATAAGATGCCAGGTCCCCTGGTATTGGAGTTATAGACAGTTCTGAGCTACCTAATGTGATGATGGGAACCAAACTAGGGTCCGATCCAAACTCTCTCTCCAGGCCCCAACCCTTATTTTTTGAGACTGGGTCTCTCCAGGAACCCACAGCTCACTGATTCATTGAGGCTGGCTCACAAATGAGCTCGAGAGCTCTGCATGTCTCCACCTCTCCAGCACTAAGATCAGAGATAACACAACTGGCTTTTAATGAATGGTGGGGATCTAAATACCGTCGCTCATGCTTTCATGGCATTTTACTAGAGGAGCCACCTTCCCCAACCTTCCAATTTTTAAAATTACATCTTAACCATGTTGCTGTGGGTGCACAGGAAAAGGCACTTGTATGGAGATCAGAGGACAATTTGTGAAAAAAACAGGTGCTTCTCTTCTTCCATGTAGATCAGAGGACTGAACTCAAGTCATCTTCAGGCAAGGCAACAGATGAGTTAACCCACAGAGCCACCTTGCCAGCAAGATTTTTTTTTTTTTTTTTCTGATAGAGTATCAATTACCCCAGGCAGGCTGGCCTAGAACTCCAGGATCTTTTCTGGCTCCACTTCCCAAGTGCTAGGGATTAAAGAATGTGCCACTGTGACTGGCTTTATTTATTCAGAATTTTTTTGTACACAAGATCTTACTCCTTAGTCCTGGATATAGTCAGGTACTTGTGGCACACACCTTTAATCCCAGCACTATGGAGGCAGAGGCAGGCTGATCTTTATGAGTTCCATGACAGGCTCCAAAGCAATACGGAGAAAAGGGGGGTGGGGGTGGGATTGGGGCTGGAGAAATGGATCTGTGGTTAAGAGCACTGACTGATCATCCATAGTACCCAGGTTCAATTCCCAGAACCCACATGGCAGCTCACAATTTTCTGTAACTCCAGTTCCAGAGGACTGGACACCCATGGCAAAACACCAAAGTAAATAAAACAAAAATAGTCCTGGATGTTGTGGAACTCACTCTGTAAACGAGGCTGGCCTCAAACTCAGAGAGCTGCCTGTCTCTGCTGGGATTAAAGGCATGGACTACCAATGCCCAGCTACAGGCTAGTCTTAAAATCACAACAATCAACGTGCAGAGGTGGTGCATGCCTTTAATCCCAGCACCTGGGAGGCAGAGGCAGGAGGATCTCTGTGAGTTCAAGACCAGCCTGGTCTACAAGAGCTAGTTCCAGGACAACCTCCAAAGCCACAGGGAAACCCTGTCTGGGGAGGTGGGAGGGGGGGAATAACAACAATCCTCCTGCTTCAGCCTCCTAATTGTTAGGTTAGAGGCTGAGCCACCACACCCAGAGTGTGCTTTTTTTTCTGTTAAGATCGGTCACAACTTTCACTGATTTCCCAAGGACATTAATGTTAAACATTTGAATATCCAATTAAGTCAAGTATGTTGGCTCCTTTCAGTTAGGAGTGTGAGGCCGAAGAACTGCTACAAATCTAAACCTAGTAGGGCTACATAGTAAATTTCAGGCCTGTTTGCAATATGAAGCAAGGCTTTGTCTCAAAAAAATAAATGTTAGGCTAAATTTAGTTGTAATATTAGCCCTTTAAAATTGATTATTACTATTATTTTACACACACACAGAGAGAGAGAGAGAGAGAGAGAGAGAGAGAGAGAGAGAGAGAGAGAGAGAAAACACTGAAATATATTTTTATTTTATTTTTTTAAGCTAGAGATGGCTCAGCAATTAAGAGCACTGGCTGCTCTTCCAAAGGACCAGTGTTCAATTCCCAGCACCCACATGCCAGCTCACAACTGTCTGTAACTCCAGTTTCAGGGCATCCAACATCCTCACACAGACATACATGCAAACACCAATTCAAATAAAATAAAAATAAGTTGTTTTTAAGTTTTCTACAATTGCATTCATCCCAGCACTTTGACAGTGGAAATCTGAGATCAGAGTTCAAGGCCAGTCTGAGCTACAATGAGACCCTGTCACAAAACAAAACATAGTATAACACAGATTCTGTAATGGGAAGCGTCCTCACTAACATTCTTTAGAAACTAGCATATTAGCTGGAAAGATGGCTCAGGGGGTAAAAGGTATTTGTTTCCAAGCCTGATGACCCAAGTTCTATTTCTAGGATACACATACTACAAGACAACTAAAATCTGAAAGTTGTCCTATGACCTCTACACAAATGCCAAGGGGACTGCCCTCCTCCCGTGTAGTAGTAGTAGTAAATAATAATAACTAGTGCCTTATTCTATGCTGAACCTGGCAAATCAGAATGTTTAATATATTGATTATGCTAAAGTGTTTAAGAAAATGTTCTAACCAGATGTGGTGGCACATGGCTTTAATCCCAGCACTCAGGAAGCAAAGGTGGGATTTGTGAGTTCAAGGTCAGGCTGGTCTACGAAGCTAGTTCCAGGCCTGCTAGAGTTACAGACCAAGAACCTGTCTCACAGTGGGATAGAAGAAGAAATAAGTCAAAAAAAAAAAAAAAAAAAAAAAAAAAAACCACCGGGGGGAAAAAAAAATCCGGAGGTAAAAGAAAGCTTTCTAGCTTCAATTTTACTGTAGGAATAAGCCAAAACATAGGAAGACATATTTAATAACTCACCAATCACTAAATTCCATCTTGGGAGCAATGTTAATGATTAGCAACGAATCATTTTTAAGGGTAGTAAAGTTTTGCCTGTATTAAAAGGTAAGCCACTAGCTGAAAAAACGTAGTCACAAGCGTTCATAGTACAGACTACTTTAGTACGAGCACAATAGGTAAGGTTATTCTCTGACGACAGAAAACAGGGGCAGCCTATGGACATGTGGCCTCTTTGGGGCCGAAAGAGTGAGCGCTTCAACCACGGGGGCACTCATTTGGGAAACGCGCCCAAAAGCAAAGTTCATATAAAGATCTGCGGTGCACTATATACACATCTGTAAAGTATGCCTAAGCAAAGGACATTTTTTAAAGAGGACGCTACTTTAGTCACTGATAATAAAACCAAAGCCTCTGTTCCGGGAAGCTCTAGCATACGATGACCCCACTCTCCGGGAGAAAGCAGCCCATGAAAAAAAGAAAAAAAAAAAAAAAAAAAAAGA